TAAACGGGCACTTTTTAAAGATGGAAATCATATTAGATAGTTGTATAAGGGTGAAGTTTAATAATATATGTGCTACTTTGGTTTAAGCAAATGTTGACATTTTCTGTCATCCTGGTTTGCAGGATGTTGTCAAATAAAAACTGGCAATTTATTAAGAAATTTCAGGTGTTTCTTAAATTCTTTTTCTTTGTCTAATCGAAATGTTTCAAACGAAACATGTTTTCTTTAGAAATAGATTAAGTTTTCATCTTTTTAACTTGTAATTACAGTATCACTTTCCATCCAGCACTTTCAGAAATAAAGGTGCAGAACTGTCACTGGGACGGTAATACTGCATGTACCTTTAAAGTATTATATGTATAATTTGGTGGTAAATAAAGCACACAATTTTATTATTATTATTTTATTTTTATCTTTAGCTTTTGTACCTTTGGCCATTTTACTTTACATCACCCTACATTAGCTAAATATTCCTATACTGTAACTTATGTCATTGCATTGCTTGCACATATGTGTATGTTAGTCATCACATTTTGTTTTTTTAAACTGGTCATATATTTTTTTATTTGGTTACATGAAAATATAGATTAGTCTAAGTTTAATCCAAAAAACAAGACTGATTACGCCTTGGCTAACTGCTTGGGCAGACTAGTTCTTTAGTCTTAATGTATAGAGGCTAAGTTTATGCAACTGGACTCTTGTCACTCTTATCTAATTAACCAACCCGATCTCATGAAAGTGCGTATAAACAATACGCCAAATAAACACGAAAACTCGTGGTATTGATACGCAAAAATGGACTTTGGCGTGTATATGCTACGCGATGGGTAGGTTTAGGGTTGTGGGGTAGATGCGTATCATATGTACGTGAAAACTGCGTATCATATGCACGGCAACAAATTTCGTATCATTTGCAGGCGAAAACTGCTATATGCACGCCAAACACATGCGTATCATATGCACGCCAAAGTCCATTTTTGCGTATCAATACTACCAGGTTTCGTTTTTATTTGGTGTACTATTTATACGCATTTTCATGAGATTGGGCTCAATTAACTGTAATGAACAGTGTTGGGGAAAGTTACTTTTAAAAGTAATGCATTACAATATTGCGTTACTCCATAAAAAAGTAACGAATTACGTTACTTAGTTACTTTTTATGGAAAGTAATGCGTTACGTTACTTTTGCGTTACTTTTTAAATCTGGACAGGGCTTGCTTGTTTGATTTTAAAATAAAAAAGTTCTATTTTTGGCAAATATAAAAGCCTTTTCACACCAAAAGTGAAATGAATAAGCCTCAGGCTGAAGGGAAAGTACATTTACATCCGTACAGTAGAATGCAGAAGAAGACATTTCAACAATTCATTCATTCATTCATTTTAAAATAAAAAAGTTCTATTTTTGGCAAATATAAAAGCCTTTTCACACCAAAAGTGAAATGAATAAGCCTCAGGCTGAAGGGAAAGTACATTTACATCCGTACAGTAGAATGCAGAAGAAGACATTTCAACAATTCATTCATTCATTCATAGAGTAATTTGTGCTTATTAGTACGGTTGAACTGGATCATCGAAGGTCAGAAGCAAAGACATTGGTTAATAGAATGGAATTAAATACATAAAGGATATTTGTGTTGTTTAACATTTAATTATTGCAGGTTTGCGTCATATTCTGAGTTGCATTATTTTTATTCATTTTGAGGAATACTGAATCTGTTTTTT